TGCCAATCAAAGATACATTTGGTAATACTTTGTGAGGTTGTGATGATGATCATGATATCGATAATTCAGCACTGTTTATATGTATCAGATCCAGATCGGTATCGGCTGATACTGGGTCAACCGATATCGGTATCGGATAGGAAGTGAAGAAAAAAAAAAAAGTGGATGGTGCATCCCTAGTTGTGAAGGTTTTCAAAGTGTTACTAAAACTTTCTACAACCAAGCAATGTATCAGCACGAAGGTTTGGAAATTAATATTAAGTTTTAAATAATGAAAGCTGAATGTTTTTAACTTGCATTTAATAATCATGTGTTCTCATTACGATGCAGTTCATGTCAGTGACTATTTTTGTGTACAAGGGTTAAAAATGATGCATCATGTGCAAAGTTAAAGGTAATAAATAAAAAAAGTTTGTATACTTTTTTAAACGAGAGAATATCCGGCTGCACATTTTGGCGGTTGTTAAAATTAAGCTCTGTTGTGGTGAAACCTCGTCTGCACAGTCTTAATAGTTGTCGCGTTTCCTCATTAAAACCACATTAAGACTAAAGTGTTATTCATCATTTAGGCAGTTTTATATCAATTTCTGATTTTATATTGATTAAAGACCAAAAAACAACTCGAAGAAATACAAAAAGCTGTTGTACCATTATTGAATGTTGCACCTGTTTTTAATTCACCATTAAGGCTCATCATCAGACTCAATAAATTACAACACATGCAAAAAGACGAGGAATAAAAACGTCACATGTACTTTTGAAAATAAACACAGGACATGACTGCGTTATGATTATTGCGATTCAAATCTGTTAAAGGGATCAGATTAACGGCAGCTCTTGAATGACGACACCCTGCTCGGTGGATCCCAGAGGTAACAAAAAGATGAATAAAGAAAATGTTTTTACTGAGTTTTGAAACACTTATGCAGCAATTTAACAAGAATAAATACTGCCAATTTAGACAATCTTAAATTACAGACACTTTGGTTCGTCTTAATGTAATAAAAGCTAAACTAGATTTTGAAAACAGATCCGCTTTTTAAAGTAGATATATGCTTTCAGGATTCACTTCTCTTTTTTAAGAGTCAAGTTTAACTTTAGATTGTATAAGAATTCAGCATACAGAGGTCTTTACGTTAAAGTAATGCACAATATTAATAAAATAATTGTACACTCATCATGCCCATATCACCCAGCGCCCCCAGTGAAAGACGTGCACAAACAAAACAAAAACAGATATATCCAACATGAAAATATAAAACAGAATATCACACTTGTCCAGAACTTTCCAGGAGTTGTGAACAGAGCTGGTTGAGTATGAAGAACTATTATTTAACTAACAGAAAGCCCCGTTTAGCTTTAATTAAGTTTTTAAACATGCAGTCATCACAAACACACATTTAATATAAAATTATATTGACACAGGCTGCAAATAAATGGCTTAATTTCCTGAATAAAGCTAACAAAAATAAACATTTGAAACCTTGTATTTATAAAAATGTTGTGCAAGTTTATGCATTTGAAATGCTAAAACATCTGTAAAAAAATTGTCTCAATAAATAACTGCCCCTCAAATATTTCTGATACTAAAGAAACCCCCCCCATCTTGTATAAAACACGTATTAAAACACTTTGAAAGACTCAAAGTTCAGTTCATCAGGCACCGAGCATGTCTTTGACGTAAAACAACTTCTCTCGGCGCGCTCCTCTTTGACCTGATGACCTTTGACCTCGCAGGCCTCCAACTAAAGTTCGTCCCTGTACGCAGCCGACAGCATCTCGGGCGCGGACCCTTTCAGGGTCTTGTGGGAGCCCCTCCAGTCGGTCCTTACCGAGTCGTCGTCCCACAGCGTGGACGTCTCGGTGTCGCTCACCCACTGAGCGTCACCGGCGTAGTGACATGGCTGCACCAGAAGGGGGCGTGTACTGAAGGCTTGTAAGTTTCTGTTTGGGAAATGGGACTTGTAGTCCTTGCTGGCAGAAAAAAAGAAAGAGGGCAAAGACACAAATTACAATTCTACGTTCACCACAGTCTAATTTTTGTGCTTTCAACTTTTTTTTCTTTCTAACAAATGACTAGATTGTTGGTCATAAACATCAGTGATGTGTTGTGATTTATTTAAAATGGTTGAATTTGACAACAGAAAGAGACAGAGGGGTTGGCTGAAGACCGATCAGATACTCTGAGCGTGACGGGCAGCAGAAGGACCCACATGTTCTGCATTCTTAGCAGATCAGTGAAGCATATCAAATCAGAACCTCGCAGGCTTAGGGTAGAGAACAGGAAGAGGGTTGGCTTTGAGCCAGTTTGACACATGATGGAGAAAACAGACAATGTAAAACGAGCAGAACTTTTAGTATTTTTTGGCCTATAAGTCGCAGTTTTTTGCATAATTTACATGCCATGTGACGTATCGACCGAAACGACTTATTTATGGATTTTTCCCATATTTATAAACCATTTTTTGGCTTAGATATGACCATTTTCATTCACTCTGACTGAAAACAAAATTTAAGCAGTACCACTTTCAGCCACTTGATGGCAGCAGAGCAGTAGTAGTTATATGGCATACCATTGTATCATGTAATAGGTAAACGTGGCTATAATGACACATTCAAAAAAGTTCAAGACAAAAACAACTGGACTTTATTTATAATATTTTACTTTATACTTTGTTTTTTTTCTTTAACTTTTTTGAATTGACCATGTCCTGGATGACTGAGAATCTTCACCAGCTTTTAATGATATAATCAGCTTGCCATAATTGCCCCACCTTCATTCTGCTCGCTGCTTGGAACAGTCAAACCAGCTGCACTGCCCCAACAAAATGCAGCTCATTTGACATTTAAAGTGCATTTTTAGGCAAACGTTAAACTGAGACACACCTTTGCTATAATTTCGAGCAAACAAGTAATTGTTTAGGTGCTTTCCTTGTGAAATTTCAAAGAAACGAGCCGTGTTCCTCCTCCTTTTTCCTCCTTCTGCACACTCCCGGGAGCACAGAAGCAGCGAAAATATTTTTGAAATTCAGCTGATTTGACCATTAAAGTTCATTTATTAAGCTAAAGTTAGCAAAAGTAAGCAAAAGTGTTAATCTTGTTAAATTCTTGTTAAAGTCCTCCCGTGCACTCTCTCACGGCCGCCAATTGGTAGCCCATCGATTTTTGGCACAACACCGGCCCACATTTCTGGGTTCGGCCCCCATTTCATGGTTGTCAGCAGTGACGCATAATAGATGCAACGTATACGGCAAAGTGATATATTTATGGATTTTCCTCTTTTTTTTGACAAATATGGACTGATGCGACTTATAGGGTGGTGCAACGTGTACGGCGGAAAATACGGTATTTTGATTTCTGTAGTTATCAGATGAGAAATATGTTCTGATTGGAGAGCTGGTGTTGAAATTACATCATGCTCTTACAAAAACGTGACGGCTTCAAAAAGTTGTATAAAGTCGTCACAACTCATGCATATCACAGGTTCTTGTACACACAATCACATCTAACCCCAAAGAAAACAGAAAACAGCCCCACAAGCAGCACTGTGCTGTCCTCTGTGAACTGGCTGCAACAATACTTACAACAGGGGTTCCCAACCCTGGTCCTTGAGGAACGCCATCCTGCATGTTTTACTTGTTTCTCTGCTAAGACACACCTGATTTTAATCAACGGGTGATTAACAGGCTTCTGCAGAACATGAGGAGGTAATTAAATCACTGAATTGGGGGTGTTGGAGCAGGGAAACAACTAAAACATTCAGGATGGTGTTCCTCAAGGATCAGAGTTGGGAACCACTTGCTTACAAAACATAATGCTAACATGCTAACACTTTAGCAGGCTTACCAATTCATGTAACAAGTTGGTAAATGGATAAAGACATTAAGAAGATAATTTAGATACTTTGAAGTTGGGTTCTGTGGAGTAGTGATCAGTCATCAGTATCATACCTGCAGCAGACAGCGGTCAGAATGATCTGAGTTTGGAGAAACAGGAAGACAGTTTCACAAAAGCATCAAGCTACTGGCTAGAAGCTTGACGCAGACTGAAAACTGGAGTGTTTTAGGAGCTGCATCAGCCATAAAAAAACATTTAAATGTAAACAATTTTCAATAGTTTTAGGCAACAGTGTTGTCATCACGCTGCACTACTATTGTGATAGGCAGTTACGTGGTTAATTTTCCAACACATGCTGCAACAGATTGAACTACATACCAACAAAAGCACCTTACAGTGTAATAAGCACAATTCTTCATGTAAATAACCATCTGCTGCCAAAAACACATGGTACATATGTAAACAATGCATTCACATGAATTGTGATTAAAAATAAATGGCTGAAATTTCCCTTTGGAATAAGCTCTACTAGCTTTTATTTTAGTCCAATTTCCAAAACTGAGATTAATTTGACCATGGTCTAATACAGGTAATACAATGACTAATACTAATTACTCCTCAGGGTAACCCATTTCTTTAACATCAAAGTACATCATAATTTAGCAGCTATGTTAATAATTTAGGATTGTGGAAGACAAACAAATGTCCAGCTTGATAAAGTCATTAATTAGGGTTAAATAAAAACAAAAAAACTATTTTTAATGTGTGCATTAAATTTTATGGCTGACAGACAAGCCACATTCTAAAGCATAACTATCCAAATTTAACTGTTTGGATATAAAACGGACTTTTATTGCTTCATGATTTCAGTTCATCTAAACTACGTGAGTAATAACGAAGCCCACGTTTTTCCAAAAACCTTCAGACCAGCAAGTGTTAGATGCTGCCAAGAAACCTGGACTCCATAAAAAAGAAAATGTTCAGGGTTCATAAAGCTCTAGTTTTAAAACATCCAATTTTGCTCCGTAATCCCTATAATTTAAAGGAGGCTTATTCCAACTAAGATAAATATAAAGTGCATAAGTTTAGACAACTGATGTAAAGATTTTAGCAGTTCTGTTTTTATAGACCTTAAACACAGAGTCACAGTTAAATAAATACGAAAGTGTACATACTTGGGATGTTTGTCATACATGATGGGGAGGAATTCATCCACAGGCAGCATCTTGGACAGCGGCTCGGCGTTGAGCAGTTTTTGGGCTCCCTGCTGCGAGATGGCGTAGGACAGAGTCCAATACGAGTAGTCAGCCTCCACCAGGTTCTGAACGTTCTCCAGGGGCTTCTCCTTTCCAGGATTCACCTGCTTCCTGCCAAAGTATCTGTGGCAACACACAGCCAGGATCGAAAAGTCGAGAGCGTTCTCAAACATCTGCTGCTATTTTGTTGCGCAAAACTTCCTTTCTTTATTTTTCGCATGTGTTTTACACCCATCTGTGCTGAAAGATACAACATGTGAGCCTAAAGTTTGATCTAACTCTGTTGGAATGATTTAAATTAAAACAGTGTGCTATTATTGTGTTTTTAGGAGGAAAATAAAAACCCCACAAGATAAAAATCACAGAAAAGAATTTACAGCCTGAAAATACGTAACTTTAACTAATTCTGTTACTTTCCCATCCTGACCTTCTAAAGGTCCGCTCAGAATTCAATTCAGGAGAAAGAGAAACGTCTCACATGAGGTCCCAATCCAAGTCCACCAGCTCCACTTCCTCCATCAGCCTGAGCGCTCGTCGCTTGAAGTTGGCCTCGAAGCGAACATCGTCCTCAAAGATCAGGGCTTTGTCCATCTCCATGTCCACGATCTAAAAAAAGAAGAACGGATGAGAACCACAAAAAGCCCAACACACACACACAAAGAAAAAACATCGCGCATCCTCTTGCGCCAGAGTTTTACACAGAGATGATCTTTAAAAAAATGACAGAGTTATAGCAGTATTTGTCAAATCTCGAAAATAACGTTATGCCAAATCTCGAGCGATATTGCTAACTCTCATGTCATCCGTTAGCGGTCAGATTATGTGTTTGGGATTACTCTTAGCGTCTACCACGCTGAATTTGAATCGAACATCTGTAAAACCGACCGACTTTGTGTTCTCTAAAGTCAGTTAGTTGAAGCAGCCATCTTAAATCAAGTTGACTCCAATAGTTACTTACCGTATTTTCTGGACTATAAGTCACACTTTTTTTCACAGTTTGGCCAGTCCTGCGCTTCAAGCCCGAAGCGACTTAACCTCTAGGACCTGGCCATCCACATATGCAAGAGTTCGGGTCTTAGGAGGTTAAACGTTTATTTCCCTATTCATGACGCAATTTTTGACCGACGCGTTAAATGTTCATTATTTGTAAACATTACCATTTGCAGTCAAGAGAGGGCCCTCTAGGCTTTTGACAACTACATGTTGTTCCTCTACTACTACCCCCCCCCCCCCCACCAAAAAAAAAAAAAAAAACATTCACTTAGAAACAACTGAGAAAAACAGGTAAAATGCCCCCAAATGTGATGTGGAATGAGATAGGTGAATTTACCGGTAACTTGCCTGTCGGACTCGTTGGCTTGTTATGTTAATTAAGTCTGTTCAGGATCCCATGTCTGTTCTGTGTGTTATTGTTATTTCAGATTAAATGTCTGTTCTTGCAATTTGTGAAATACACTTCTAAATAAATGTGACTTACATGTTGTTTTCCCTCTTCATGAGGCATTTTTTTACTGGTGCGACCTATATACCAGAGTGACTTATAGTCCAGAAAATACGGTACTTGTAACGCTACATCCACTGATTGCTTTTTGAGAGTTTCACTAAAATCTTACCAGTACTTTAATCGATATTTCACTAAACGACATGTTAATTATCGCCCATTGTCAAACGTTGGACAACAACGATAGACATGACCTTTGAGTCTGAAAACTGAGGCTAATGCAGAAGTGCCTTAAAGCTGCATTCTTACGAGCAGCCAGCAGGGGGAGTATCATCTTCTTGGAAACGTTGCGAAAAGAAGTTAATTTTATCTACCTTCTCATTAAGGTTCTTAACTCTGTTAACATTTAAACTTCATTGTTTTCTTCAGAATAAAATGATGCAAGTTGTAGCTCCAATTCAAATAAAATGGACAAAACCAGATGTTAATCAGAGTGTGACTGGACTCCCTCACCTCTTTCCAGATGTAGTAGTGGCTGAGGAAGCAACCCACCTCCCCTTTGGTGAGAGTGCGACCGGAGAACGGGTCGTAGTAACCCGGCAGCAGGTCCACACCCAAGAATTTAATGTCGCTGCTGTTCAGTGCGCTGCACACAAACAGAAATAAAT